TCTTTATGCTAAGCTAAGCCACTCAGCTGCTGTGCAGACATGAGAGCTATATCAATATGAACATTTGACTCTCTTAGTAGAAGATGTACCTGCATTTAAAGACACAGTACAGACTTTATTATTCCTCTGGTTATAGTGATGTTAATATAAAACATGTTGTATTGATCCACAGCAGGCTGCTGTTCTGTGACGCATTTTATGATCTTGATTTGAAAGTTGAACGCTACAAAGAACAAATAAAGATTACAGGTGAACAGAGTTGCAGGTGCACCTGCAACTGGTGTACCTGACACTTGTCATACAGGTGTACCATACACTTGTCATACAGGTGTAACTGACACTTGTCATACAGGTGTACCATACACTTGTAAAACAGGTGTACCTGACACTTGACATACGGGTGTGACGTCTCACCACGTATTCGGTCAGAACATCTTTGATGATTCGAGTCGTTGGGATTTCAAACAGCAGCCTGACGGGTCGCTCTCTCTTCTTCACGGCTCTCAAGTTCTGCTGCAGCTGGTTAGTGGTCAGCCTGGAACAACTGGGAGGTTCATCTACACACATACACACACGCACACACAAAATGTCATTTTTGTTAGAGATGAATTCATGTGTTACTATTTTATAAACAGCCGGGTAGTTGTTTCCAGTCCTAATGCTAAGCTAGCTGTTTCCAGTCTGTATGCTAAGCTAGCTGCTTCCCCCTGTTTCCAGTCTTTATGCTAAGCTAGCTGCTTCCCCCTGTTTCCAGTCTTTATGCTAAACTAGCTGTTTCCCCGTTTCTAGTCTTTATGCTAAACTAGCTGTTTCCCCCTGTTTCCAGTCTTTATGCTAAACTAGCTGTTTCCCCGTTTCTAGTCTGTATGCTAAACTAGCTGTTTCCCCCTGTTTCTAGTCTTTATGCTAAACTAGCTGTTTCCCCCTGTTTCTAGTCTTTATGCTAAACTAGCTGTTTCCCCGTTTCTAGTCTTTATGCTAAGCTAGCTGTTTCCCCCTGTTTCCAGTCTTTATGCTAAGCTAGCTGTTTCCCCCTGTTTCCAGTCTTTATGCTAAACTAGCTGTTTCCCCCTGTTTCCAGTCCTAATGCTAAGCTAGCTGTTTCCCCCTGTTTCCAGTCTTTATGCTAAACTAGCTGTTTCCTTGAGTACAAAGAGTCAGAACCTGGATCCATCAGGTCCGTCTCAGTCCGGTCTTCAGGATCCCTCTTTGGTTCTGGTTCTGTCATCTCAACCAACGTTCTGAAGAAGTCCTGTAAACACATGAACATATACAGAGTGTGTGTGTGTGTGTGTGTGTGTGTGTGTGTGTGTGTGCTAACAGGAAGTTCCTCAGTAGTGAAAGAGGAAGTGAAACTAAAGACAAACTGTCAGAGAGAATCACATGAACAGTTTGAATCTGTCAACAACTTCAATTTAATTCATTCTTTAAAGCCCAAAATCACAAATTCTCTTCAGAGGGCTTTACAATCTGTACACATACGACATCCTCTGTCCCAGGATCACTGGTGGAACGTCACTGGTGTGAATCACTGGTGGAACATTACTGGTGTGAATCACTGGTGGAACATCACTGGTGGAACATCACTGGTGGAACATCACTGGTGTGAATCACTGGTGGAACATCACTGGTGTGAATCACTGGTGGAACATTACTGGTCTAGTGTTTCCTTCACCTGCAGTTCCTCTCTGCTCCTCTGAGGGGAGACACCTGTCTGATCTCAGTCTACATGTTCTGTTTCTAACACTTTATACACTACAACTACAACAACAGTAATAATAATCATGATCATCATTGTCATAATAACTATAATAAATAATAACTCTAAAAAGTCTAAATCAAAGTTTGAATTGTAAAAGTTGCTCCATGAAAACGGTCAGATGTAAATAAATAGTGTTTTATGAAGAGAGTAAACTGTTCATTTAATAAATAATATATATATAATAATATATATTAATAGACTTTATTATGTATCACATATTCTGTGAATATTAATTATTTCTATCTTTGTGAGGATGGAGTATTAACAGAGTTAATACTGTATAACAGAGTATTAACTCTATACTCTGTTAACAGAGTTAATACAGAGTTAATACTCTGTTAACAGAGTTAATACTCTGTGATACTCTGTTATACAGTATTAACTCTGTTAACAGAGTATTAACAGAGTAAACTCTGTGAGGAGAACTTGTGATTTGTGGTTTTGGATTAAACAAAATAAATTGAGTTGAATTAAAGAATCAAACACGTGATCTTCATGTGTTTAGTTATTAATATAGTTTGAGACTCTTTGTCTTTATTAATCATGTTCTGGTTATTAAAATAATCAATAACAGTATTCAGATTATCTGAGTACTCAACTACAATACTTAAGTACAATCTGGAAGTACTTTCTTTTTCTACTGCAGTAAATATTGTACTTTTACTGCTCTACTTTTATCTGATAACTTTAGTTACATTACTTGTTATTAAAGATTATATGAAGTCATTTAAATGAGCTGCAACATAAAGAGATGAACTAACTAACATTAATAATCATAATACTATCATATGTACTTTTACTTCCTGAAGTGACTTTAACACGATGAATAATAATGAACTGTTATTTAAACACAATAGCAAACATGTGAACAGACAGCTCCCTCTAGTGGCCACACTTAAACACTTTATTACCTCAGACATCTATTAAAGGTAAAGTACAAAATAAAGGCACTTCACTTACATTGCCTCCATAAAATATCTTTTCTCTATTTGTACAAATATTTACATAACATGTAACAAAAAGAAGCTCATGACTCACACATGATGATAAAAGAGATAAAAATAGTAAAATGGTTAAAAACTTGACATGATGACACATTCTGTGTCAGACTAATTGATCTCCTCGTTGGTTATTAGTTGACAGACATAATGAGCATCGTGTTTATGATTATTGTGTGTGTGTGTGTGTGTGTGTGTCTCAGTGGGAGGAGCTCCGGTCGTTGGCGACGTCCTGCAGGCGGCGCAGCAGGGCAGACTGAGAGTCCTGACAGACCCTCTTGGGGGACGTCTGGTCCTCCAGAGCACGAGTCCTCTTCCTGGTGGGGGTCTCTCCGGTTCGGATCATTCTGTTGATCTCCTGCAGACGCTGGAGGTCAGAGGTCACAGATCAATATGTTGTTAAACTAACGTGATGTCATCTGAGATCAATCAGATGACATCACTTCCTGTCTAGACTCTGTTCTGTTTTATTGATAATCTGGAGGCAGACATGTAACATGTGGACTAGTACATCTCTACAGTACTGTATGTATGTGTGTGTGTGTGTGTGTGGGGGGTCTCACGTTGGGGGGGCTGCTACAAATGTAGTAGTAGATCTTGTCTCGGGGGCTCGATGTCGGGGGGGCGGAGCTCGTCTTGTGAGGTGAGATGTAGATCGAGTGTTTGCTGGACAGAAGCATCCGACGGGGGGAGCCCGTCCGCAGGGAGGGGTACGGACACAGAGGGGGGGTCTCCAGCTGCTCACACACACACACACACACACACATTTTTATAATATAATATATATTATTCTGTACTTTAAGTACACCTTGAAGCTGATACTTGAGAACATTTACTGGTTCGGATTGGACCAAAGCAGTGACGTCTCACTCTCTCTTTGGAACATGTCCTCGTAACTCAACAGGTTCTACGATCAATGAATCCTCACCTTCATCCTCACCTTCATCCTCATCTTACATTTTTTTCATAGTCATTATAGTCATTTTGCTTTTATTTTGCCTAGAAATCCCTAGAAGACAATGGGTTAGGAAGCTGAAATTTGGAATGTAATTCCCCCTTTACCCATAGATTCAATGGTGTGAATAACAATGGGAAACTCCTTACACTTTTCCCATAGTAATTTAGTCAATTTGGCCTTTTACGGCCTAAATATCTCCACAACCCTTTGGGCTAGGAAGCTGAAGTTTGGACAATAATTCACCCTTTGCCCATAGATTAAATGGTGTGAATATCAATGGGACATTCCTTACACTTTTTGCATAGTAATTGATGGCATTTTGCCTTTATTTGGCCAAGAAATCCCTAGAAAACAATGGGCTAGCAAGCTAGGAAGCTGAAATTTGGACTACACTACCTTCTCAAAGTCTTGTTCCACTGGTATGAAAATGAAAATGATTGGAGAAATTGCAATTATTTGAATTCTCAGGCAAAGTAGCACCAGGGATTGATTTTGCTGAAAAATGAAACTCATCCAATTTGCTTGAAACTCGGTACACTTAGAGGGCTGTTCCCAGGAATGCCCCCTCGTAGGTTTCAGCCTCCTAGCCCATAGCATACTGTAGATATTGTTTGGGAGAGATGGGACAATTTCTGCCATTTGGGTTGGGATAATTGGCCTACATGAGAGCCCAATCAAATGTAGTTGAAATGACACTTTTTGAGTTGCCATTTCAACTACATGTTGCTGTGTAAATTTGTCCTCGAAAACCTTTTGAGTTACAAGGGAACTGCACCCAACAAAAACCCTCTTGACTCTAAAGACTGAAAACAGCTTTTTTGGAAAATGCCCATTCCCTAATTTTCCAAAAACTGCCATTTCAACTACATTTGATTGGGCTCTCATATAGGCCAATAATCCTGACCCAAATGGCATAACTTCTCCCAAAAGACAATTGGCCCATTTTCATACCAGTCTTTTCTCTTATTTTTTATACTTTAAATCAAAGTACAGACTTGGAACCTTTTCCTCTTCAAAGAGGGGCTTGTGAATAATAAATACCTACAATTTGGTGCTCGTAGCTGTAAATTAAGGTCCCCAAAAACAGGCCCAAAGGTCAGAATTTGAGCCATAATCCCTTATTTTGGGGGATTTTTTGACCTATGTAAAAATGGCCATAATCTCTCAAATATTGGTCCCAGAGACCCCAGATTGTGGACATACATTATGGACTGGGCCTACAATAAGGTCACATGACCGAAACCCCTCTAAATCATCTAGAAAAAATTGGCCTGTATGAAACTCAGAGAACAGCATGGTGTCAAGGTTGGTAAATTGTACACCCTGTGAAGAAGTTGGTCAGATTGGATCAACTTTTCTAAACTTGTCAGAGCCCTGTTTTTTTATATGTTGTAGCCACACCCAAATGTGGCACAGTCATGTTGGATGGCACTCTCTAGCACTTAGCATGCCTGCGTGGGAGGAGGGAGACTTGGCCTACATTGGAATAGGGAATTTTGATAGGATAAAATGAATGGAAAATGATGACCAAATGTCCCTCATTCAAAATGTCATAACTTCTCAGAAAAGGGTTGGAACTGCTTGGAATTGCAACGAAACATTCCATTGGATGACTTGAATCAGCACATTGAGCAGCTAGTCTGCAGAACTTTGGGAAAGCTATCTTTCTTCAGGAACATTGTATTGATGTAAATCCAACTGAACCTGAAAGGGTGTCATCTGTTGTCCACCATACATCATTTTCATCAACGTTTGTCTTGTAGAAATGGTTTTATGGCACCCAACAGAAACAGAAACCTATATACGTCATTAACAGGGTTTTAATTCATTAAAATTACTTTAAAGTAAGATAGAGCAATACATCTTGGAGATGAAGAGCGGTTCGTGGAGATGAAATGACTAAAGTTTGGAGGTCGTAGGTCCAAGTTAAGGTGCCCAAAACCAGGCCCAAGGGTCGTAATTGGTGCAATATGTAAAAATGGACTTAAAATCTGGGAAAAAAGGTTGAAACTGCCTGAATTTTGCATCAAACATTCCTTCTGATAACTTGATTCAGCATGCCAAGCAAGAAGTCTGCAGACCCTTGTGAAAGCTACCTTTCTTCAGGAACTTCCTATGGAGCTGAAACCAACTGATTTTTAAAGACTGTCCTCTGTTGTCCACTATTTTTCATGGAAAATAAATTACATGGGAAAACAGGTCCAAAAGGCAGTGGGACATTTGGGACAGTTGACCCTGTTTCATTTTTGAAAATAAATCCTGATCCTCACCTTCATCCTCATCTTCACCCTCATCCACATCCTCATCCTCACCTTCATCCTCACCTTCATCCTCACATTCATCCTCATCTTCATCCTGATCCTCACCTTCAATCTCATCCTCATCTTCATCCTCATCCTGATCCTCACCTTCATCCTCATCCTGACCTTCATCCTGATCCTCACCTTCATCCTCATCCTGATCCTCACCTTCATCCTCATCCTCACCTTCATCCTGATCCTCACCTTCATCCTCATCCTGATCCTCACCTTCATCCTCATCCTCACCTTCATCCTGATCCTCACCTTCATCCTCACCTTCACCCTCATCTTCATCCTGATCCTCATCCTTACCTTCATCCTGATCCTCACCTTCATCCTCATCCTTATCCTCACCTTCATCCTGATCCTCACCTTCATCCTCATCCTCACCTTCACCCTTACCTTCATTCTCATCCTCTTCTTCATCCTGATCCTCACCTTCATCCTCATCCTCACCTTCATCCTGATCCTCACCTTCATCCTCATMCTCACCTTCATCCTTACCTTCATCCTCATCCTCATCTTCATCCTGATCCTCACCTTCATCCTCATCCTCACCTTCATCCTGATCCTCACCTTCATGCTCATACTCACCTTCATCCTGATCCTCACCTTCATGCTCATCCTCACCTTCATCCTCATCCTCACCTTCATCCTGATCCTCACCTTCATCCTCATCCTCACCTTCATCCTCATCCTCACTATTAAAAGATTAAAGATGAAAAAGACGAACCGCTGCTGACGGAGAGCTGGCTGAGTATCTCAGAGCGAAGAGTCTCATCTGTTTGATGTAAACGTGGTTGTAAAAGTGGATCAGGTCTCCTCGCTGCTCCTCACCATCACCCCCAGAGGAGGAGGTCTTGTTGGGGGGGCCGGTCGGGGTGGAGGGAGCACTGCCCGGCTGGGGGGGGGGCAAGGTGCTGTTGGAGCGAACAGGAACCGGACTGATGTCTCCAGCTGCTGGGAGGAGATCAGAGGAGACCAACAGGTCTTGACTTTATCATTTTGAGCTCCGTGTTTGGTCTCCATCGACTAAAGTTTAAAGCTTTTATTCTGAAAAGAGACTACTGTGTGTGTGTGTGTGTGTGTGTGTGTGTGTGTGTGTGTGTGTGTGTGACGTTTAACACACTAAAGGTCTAAAAGACAGAGAATAGTTTAAGTATTTGCAGTTAAGAAACTAGATAATAAAAACCTTTGACATTGAGAAAATAACTTTCTAATGAAAAAGGATAAAAAGAGACGAACTGCTAAAACATATTAAAAAATGGAAGGAATCTTTACAACTCATGAAAATGTACGTATAAATTAATGACAATAATATATTAGAGCTCCTCAGATAAATGAACAATGATATTATGAAATTTGATTTCTCTTGTTGAACTATATGTGTTATACCAAGAACCTTACTCAATAAAAAAAATATAAAAAACCACAACAAACAAAACATGTTTCCTCAGTGAATCCAACACAAAGGACTGAACTAAACCAGCTGTTACTTACCTGGATCCTGGTGGACGTCGACAGGTGAGTTGAGTTTGTTGGTGTTGTTGCTGCCTGAGTGACGTCTCCTCCCTGAGATCAACACACTCCTGTACACCTGAAACACACACACACACACACTTAGTACAGTTTGAGGTACTTGTACTTTACTTGAGTATTTCCATGTTCTACTTTATACTTACTTCCTGTGTTCGATGTTTACTTCCTGTGCTTCATGTTTACTTCCTGTGTTTCCTGTTTACTTCCTGTGYTTCATGTTTACTTCCTGTGTTTCCTGTATACTTCCTGTGTTTCCTGTTTACTTCCTGTGCTTCATGTTTACTTCCTGTGTTTCCTGTTTACTTCCTGTGTTTCATGTTTACTTCCTGTATGTCCTGTCTACTTCCTGTGTTTAATGTTTACTTCCTGTGTTTCCTGTTTACTTCTTGTGTTTCCTGTTTACTTCCGGTGTTTCCTGTTTACTTCCTGTGTTTCCTGTTTACTTCCTGTGTTAATGTTTACTTCCTGTGTTTCATGTTTACTTCCTGTGTTTCATGTTTACTTCCTGTGTTTCCTGTTTACTTCCTGTGTTTCCTGTTTACTTCTTGTGTTTCCTGTTTACTTCCTGTGTTTCCCATTTACTTCCTGTGTTAATGTTTACTTCCTGTGTTTCCTGTCTACTTCCTGTGTTTCATGTTTACTTCCTGTGTTTCCTGTTTACTTCTTGTGTTTCCTGTTTACTTCCTGTGTTTCCCGTTTACTTCCTGTGTTAATGTTTACTTCCTGTGTTTCCTGTTTACTTCCTGTGTTTCCTGTTTACTTACATTGCTGCTGGCCTGAGGCTGCGTTCTGTAACACTTCATGATGTTCTGGAAGGATTTGTCTTCTTTGGTCACCTGAAAGAAGCAACATACATTTAGGTTTACTTTTAGAGAGAAACACACAGTATACACACAGTACACACAGTACACACACCTTGGCCATGACGTACACAGCACACATGAGCAGCTGGTCCAGGTGACGGTCCATCATCAGGTCACTGCAGTGAACCAAAGAATGTTCAAAACACGTCCACATCTTCCTCCTCAGATCTGAAGAGATGTCCAGTTTGGAACAAAGGTCTCTGAGACGGACGCTGGCCAGGTGGTACACCTGAGGACAAGGTGAGGAGATCAGAAGCAGCTGGTAGTAACCCAAGAGAACCAGTGAGGTCTCCATGAGGACAGTGTGGTACCTTCCTGAAGAACAGTGACAGCGATCCTTTCCTCAGCGGACCACCGGCTGCTGGTTTAGCCGGTGTGCTGACGACCGATTGGACGGTGAGGGTGCCGGTCAGAGTCTGTGTGGACAGCGGCTGCAGCGTGGCTCCTCCCTGTCCGGTCACGCTCACCTGGACGGGGAAGAAGGTGATGCCTCCGCTCTCATTGGCTATCCCTGCAGAGGTCAGAGGTTTGTTACTCGTCATTGTCATCGCACTTCTTCGCTCGGTGTCGGTGTCGTCGGTCACTCACCTTGCACCGGAATGGTGACTGTCTGCCCGTTGTTGGCGGTGACGGTGGCGGTCGCCATTGAGACCACCGTCTGCCCAGCTGGGATGGTGGCGACCAGGCCGGTCTTGGTCACAGCGGTCGGTTCTCTGTCCGCAGGGTCGACGAACAGACGGCGGCGAAACGGGCCGGTGGGAGGAGAGCTGTACCGGTCAAACAGCATGGTCGGGGACGGGGACACGCCTAAGGACGGACGGTCAGATTAAAGACACAAAGACATGATGAATTTCCACAACTAAAACACCACAGAAGAAGTTACTAACCTCTGAGTTCTGGTCCCTGGTTGATGGGAGTCTGAGGAACACTGCTGCTCTCATCGCTTTGTTCCAGATACTGAGGGGGCATCACCTGAACCAGCACCAGACCAAGACCAGGTTACATCCAGACCAAGACCAGGTTACATCCACACCAAGACCACATTACATCCTGACCACATCCAGACCAAGACCACATTACATCCAGACCACAACTAGTTACAAACACGAACAAGTGAGTGTGTTGTAATATATTCAAATTCAGGATTCCCGTTTATTAATAACCACGATGAACTGAGTGTGTTGTGGTTTATGGACCTGCTTGCAGGCGGGGACGTGGTCTTTGGCCCCACGGAGGCTCTCCCACAGCGGGGAGTCGCTGGTCCAGGCCAGACTCTCCAGAACCTGCTCCTCCACCTGGTTCAGGTGCTTCACCACCTCCCGAAACAGACCCTGCTCCGACCGCACCAGCACTTCGATCACCTGCACATCACAGGTCTTATTATTATCCTCACGTGCTGCTTTTAATTGATTAATTACATTAAGAAGTGATTGGTGGTATTGATACCTTGTAGAAGTGATACGCTGGCAGCTGGAAGATGGTGATCAAGTTGGGGAAATCTCCTGGAGGTCTGTAGGAGAAGACCACGATCTCCAGACAGCAGACCAGCAGAGAGCGGTGGAAGACGTCCTGCTCCAGGATACACTGACACACACACATGTTCAATTAGTGTTTTTGTGAATAGAGTCTGGTGTCTTGGAAGAGAGCATAGAAAGGTAAAACACTGACTACGGAGAAGAAGCTAAACACCTAAACATCGGTACTGTCCCTTTAAGATGGACAGATAAAACTTTACATCCGACTCCAGTTCAAATAATACTACAAAAATACTCACGGACAAGTCTGCGTCTCCCAGGATCATCTTCTCTCTCTCGATGATGGACTCCAGCATCCTGTAGTAGAGCGCCTCCGCCAGGTGGAAGTACTTCACTGCCATGTCTACGAGGAGGAGGAGGTTTAGAGAGGAGTTAGTCCATCGGCTCAAGCTCTCAGGGGGTCATCTCACCATTTTGTGCCTCCTCGATCCCTATATTTGTTTTCCCAGGAACAATTCCTCAAAGGACACATCGGTGTTTCCCAACTCCTTGCTCCTAAAGATGCATTTTAGAAATCAGAACTGAGAAAGACTCATTTGTACCTCTCCCCATCACCTTGCTCTCTGCACCGCTGCCCTCGTAGTGTTGACACAAGAGCTCAAACATATCCTTCAGGCGCTTGCTGATAACATCACTGGGGTCTCTGGCACAGGTCCTTCAGGAAGACAGTTTCTGTTGTTACTTCAAGCACCAACAGTGGTGGTTGTTCAGTAAAACATCTCACATCTAGGTTTCCAGGTTCAGAGACAAACTAGAGTAGAGTAGGGTAGAGTAGAATATAGTATAGTAGGGTAGGGTATAGTCAGGTATAGTAGGGTAGAATAGAGTAGGGTGTCGTAGGGTAGAGTACAGTAGGATAGAGTAAAGTAGAGTAGGGTAGAGTAGAGTAGGGTAGAGTAGAGTAGGGCAGAGTAGAGTAGGATAGAGTGGTGGTAGAGTAGATTAGGATAGAGTAGGGTAGAGTAGAGTAGGGTATAGTAGGGTAGAGTAGGGTAGAGTAGAGTAGAGTAGGGCAGAGTAGAGTAGAGTAGGATAGAGTGGGGCAGAGTAGAGTAGGATAGAGTAGAGTAGAGTAGGGTATAGTAGAGTAGGGTAGGGTAGAGTAGAGTAGGGTAGAGTAGGGTAGAGTAGAGTAGGGTAGTGCAGAGTTGAGTAGAGTAGAGTAGGATACAGTGGGGCAGAGTAGATTAGGGTAGGGTAGGGTAGAGTAGAGTAGAGTAGGGTAGGATAGAGTAGGGTAGAGTAGAGTAGGATAGGGAAGAGTAGAGTAGAGTAGGGTATAGTAGGGTGTTTCCAGGTTTAGGTTTTAACAAACATACCTGAGAGTCTCTCTCAGCTTAGCGCTCGGCCCTTGTTTGGTTCCTGACAGCAGAGTGTGGAGTCGCCCGACGCTCTTCATGGCAGACGAGACGGGAGACGACCATCTGTTCTCCTGAACGTACTTCCTCCCTGTCAGAGGAGTGGACACCTTCAGAGCCGAGGCCTGACGGGAGGAGAGACGACGGGTCTTTAATGTTTTCTGTTTATTCACAGCAGTAAATAATAAAACTGCGGGCTAGTTCATGTTAGCCGTCTCACCGTGAGGCTGGTGTGAAGCCTGTATGTGGCGCTGTCCTGGTTCTCCACCCCCTCACACAGGCTGGGCCCCGGTGTCCCGATGTCCTCGCTCGCCCCGTCACCGGTGAAGATCCTCTCATCCAGACTACCAGTGGCCAGAACATGTTCCTCATACACTCGAGTCAGAGACAAACTAGAGTAGGAATATAAAGGAGTAGAGTTAAGTAGGAAAATAAAGGCGAGTAGAGTAGGGTAGGGTAGAGTAGGGTAGAGTAGAGTAAGGTAGAGTAGAGTAAGGTAGAATAGGGTAGAGTAGGGTAGAGTAGAGTAAGGTAGAGTAGAGTAAGGTAGAGTAGGGTAGAGTAGGGTAGAGTAGAGTAAGGTAGAGTAGAGTAAGGTAGAGTAGGGTAGAGTAGGGTAGAGTAGAGTAAGGTAGAGTAGAGTAGGGTAGAGTAGGGTAGAGTGGGGTAGAGTAGGGTATAGTAGAGTAGAGTAGAGTAAGGTAGAGTAGGGTAGGGTAGGGTAGAGTAGAGTAGAGTAGGGTAGAGTAGGGTAGAGTAGAGTAAGGTGGAGTAGAGTAGAGTAGGGTAGAGTGGGGTAGAGTAGGGTAGAGTAGAGTAGAGTAAGGTAGAGTAGGGTAGAGTAAGGTAGAGTAGGGTAGAGTAGGGCAGAGTAGAGTAAGGTAGAGTAGAGTAGAGTAGGGTAGAGTGGGGTAGAGTAGAGTAAGGTAGAGTAGGGTAGAGTAGGGTAGAGTAGGGTAGAGTAGAGTAAGGTAGAGTAGAGTAGAGTAGGGTAGAGTAGAGTAGGGTAGAGTAGAGTAAGGTAGAGTAGAGTAGGGTAGAGTAGAGTAAGGTGGAGTAGAGTAGAGTAGGGTAGAGTGGGGTAGAGTAGAGTAAGGTAGAGTAGGGTAGAGTAGGGTAGAGTAGGGTAGAGTAGAGTAAGGTAGAGTAGGGTAGAGTAGGGTAGAGTAGGGTAGAGTAGAGTAGGGTAGAGTAGGGTAGAGTAGAGTAAGGTAGAGTAGGGTAGAGTAGAGAAACAACTGTTATGACACATGAACAGAAGACTGTAAAGAACATGTCATCAGATGAAGTGAAACAATGACGAAACTGGACACATTGATGAACATTCTGCCCCCAAAATAAACCGGTAACAAACCATTTGTTATGAATTAGTAAAGTAACTCTATCTAAATACTAACACATTAGATACATATGATCACATTATGATCAATGAACTGTTCAATAACAGCCAACACTCACAAACTGTCTCCAAAGTTCAAGGGATCCAGAAAGCCGGTCAGACTGTCCTCCTTTCCTCTGACAATCTGTAGGAGAGAGTTTAAATTACCCACCACATCTACCGTGTGTGTGTGTGAGTGTGAGTGTCTGTCTGTCTGTCTGTCTATAGCAGCATGTCTCACCCTCTTGTGGAAGAGCTTCTTGATGAAGGGTTTCCAGAAGTGTTCTTTGACCCCTTTGGCCTCCAGCACCAGACCATCATGCAGCTCACATAGCTGCTCTATGAAGCAGTGCGGCCCTGAAGACGGCCTGAAGTCTTTAGTGCTGAAGTCCACTGGTAGACCTGGAGGACCCCACACACACAGACCAGGACCCTGTTTCATTCATCATTATTCACTACTACAGTAGATCAAACATTCTAGTAATATCAAAAAAAGGTAAACGTGTTAATCATACAGAGAGAAATCACTTTATAATTTTCTGCATCAGTCACCCAATCATGGTTCAGAATTAAAGTTCTGCTCCATCTACTGTAGTAACACACTGACTATGGAGGAGAACCTCCGATAAACATCACTACTGTCTCTTTAAGATGTCCGGTGTGATCTAGTGTTTCAAACCAGCTTGTTTCCTGAGTGGATGCAGCTTGATGTGGAGTCAGAGCCGCTTCCTCTCAGCACAATAAACACTATGTTTTGGAGAAGGAGGTGGAGGAAACACCAGGCTGATTTATTTTAGTTTGATTTATTAGTGCAGAGCTGATAAGCAGGCTTCCCTCCACAGCGCCATGTTTCACAGCTCTATGTGGGTTTGAGATCTGATGTGGTTCAGTGTGAGGGTTCACCTCTGAAGTTGGGGTTCAGCAGGTCCTTCCTGGCGTTGCACAGCAGAGCGTTGGTGAAGACCAGATCCAGGGCACACAGCAGCAGGTGGTAGGAGTTCACCAGGTCATCGCTGATCATCGGGAAGTTCCCTGAAAGGACAGAAAACACCAGCGGATCAGGACACTCTTCCCCCTCCCTTGAGCAAGGCACTTCAGAGCTCCTCCTGTTTGTTCCTCTCATGTGCTAACATCAAAAATAAGCATCTAGGAGAAACAACATTCTGTCTGCTGCATCAGAAACAAACAATGTAATGGACATAAATTACGTTTTTCAACATTTTATATTGATGTTTCCTTCCAATGTTTTCTATTTACATACAGATTACAAAAAGAGCTGGATGTCATTGTCCAGCTACTTGGATAAAAAATACAGTCTCACCTCAGGAAACAGATTAAAAACATATTTAATGTTGCAGTAAACTGTGTTTTTATTCATACACGAGGATGAGGCTGGACGTGTGCTACCGTACAGATGTTAAACACATGGAGCTGCTGTTCTCAGGATTATGAATAAAAACATCCAAAACCCTGAGAGCACAAACAAACCTTTGGAAACATTTAATACCTCGGGTTCACTGGAGGACATCTTTAAAGGTGAATCTGAGTTTTTTTATTATGTCTAAACTGTGGTGCATCACTTGATAATCTGTCTCCAGAAATGTGTCCAGATGTTTGAACACCAACATCAGAGAACCAGCTGAGAACGAGGACTCTGGATCTTGCCCCGTACAAAGAGGACGTCTCTGGACCGTGTTCACTTATCAATCTGAGGGTCTGGTATCCAGATCAAATCAGACACAGACGATCTCTGTTGGTCAGATGTGATCACAGTCTGTCTCTGTTTATGTTCACCAGCTAGTCTCTAAAGTCCCAAGACGTTCAGAACCAGGTCCTTTATGTCTCGTGTGAACAGGAACAACGATCAATATTCAGGTAAATCTGATCCACCAGTTTCCTCCTAAAGACCTCCAAACATCATCTTCTTCTGGTGAGATTTATGGCGGCTGCCATCTTTAAGTGTTACATTAGCACCGCCTGCTGGCTGTCCTTGATACTTCTATCCATTGAAATGTTAGGTGTGACCAGTGAAACCACTAGCTGGAAGGCCTCCCAGTAGTTTAGTGGTGCAGCAGACCAGAGGAGCTGGTTACCTTTAGCGTGGACAAACAGAACCCAGCAGAAGTTGAAGACCTCGGTCACAGAGCAGGGATGACGTCTGGAGATAGAAGACCAGAGGAGACATCGTCAGCTATAATTAAACAACACCGTGAAACAAAGAAGCACCAGAACCGGCTGTTCAGGAGAGGTCAAGGCTCACCTCTGTTTGCGGCTGCGGTGAACTCGGGTCGGCTCCTCGGACGGCGCCTTGAAGATGGCTTTGAAGATCGGGACGTACTTCTTGAAGATCACCGCCGACACGGTGAAGTTCCTCTCTAGTTTGTTGGTGCTCTGACGGAAGTCCTGAGGCAGGTCGGCCATGTCCTGCCACTTCTTCATCTTATTAAAGAACTCGATCAGACTGTGAGGAGACACAACTCTGACTTATTAAAGAACTCTATATCCTGTTACTTCTTCATCTTATTAAAGAACTCTATGTCCTGTTCCTTCTTATTAAAGAACTCTATGTCCTGTTACTTCATCTTATTAAAGA